AATCCTCACCTGTGATTCCTTAAGTAATTGTCTTAGTTTTATTTACCCTTTGAGATTTTATTTGAAGCTACGAAACCTAACATAACAATGTCTACTTTTAAAAGTAGGTCTTAAACAGTTTAAATTATACTGTTCACCAAGTTTTCTTCATATTAATTCACGTTGAGAACTTTTCATCAATTTCTACACATGACTCATTAGACCAAATAATATTATTCCATTCTTATATATTTTAATTAATATGTTCTTTACACTAAATAAGTTGTTTCTTTTGATTTTCATCTGAAATAAATGGCTTTTTAACTGCTACATGAGATTTAATACCAGCTTTATGAAGATAATTACTAGCTGTTGTTGTTGAAACATTCAAACCAACATTGGCTGTTAGTTTTTATAAAGAAGCATGTCTATTTCTCATTACTTCATAAATAAGTAATCATTTTTGTTATTGTGTAGCTATAGGAAGCCACCTAGAACATGATAAATTTTCAATATTTCCCATTTTTTTATATTTTTTAATAAATAAACAAACTGTGCTATCAGGTATATTCATTTGTCTTACAATTTGAGCATTTTTAAAATTATTATTTAACAAAGTAATAATACGCCTTTTTCTTCTGGTTTAAGCTCTCTAGTTTTAATCATTTTACATTTCTATTAAAGTGGCATTCAATTTACAAAAATTATCAAAGTTTATTAATAATTTTAATGTTACAATATTTCTTTTAAGGATTTATCGACAATGTAATATTACAATATTTTTTTTATGCTAAAAATTAAATTTTAAATTAAATTTTACTAAAATTACAAAATCGCAAATACTTTCTTGAGCTACTGTACATAGATTACAACAGCTTTATTTAAATTTTTTGGTAAATTAGCTAATGAGATAAATGCTAATAAGCCTATAATTAGCTCTTTTGAAAGAAACCATTCACTTAAATTAATTTTTCTCTTATATTCATTATAAGGTTCTAATAAAACTAACATATTAAAATCAGTATTTCCTTCAGAAACAATAGAATCTTAAAATAATATTTCTTCAAATGATCACCTAGTCCTATAAGAAATTTGTATATAGAATCGTATATGAAAATAATATATTTTTGATATTTATAAATAACATAAAATATATATGTAATTATTATGTATAAAAGATAAGGAAAAAAATAGAATTACAGATATATAAAATTATGTAAATTAAGTATATTGTATATGTAATTCGTATATGCAAAATTACATATATTATATACGTTTTTCAGTATATTTTATATGTAACTTTTATATGTAATTTTTATATAATTTATATATAATTTTATATAATTAATTTCTTGTAATATTACCAAATTTATAATTTATTAATATATAATTTAAAATTACT